GGGGGGGGGGGGGGGGGGGGGGGGGGGGGGGGGGGGGGGGGGGGGCTGCAGGATGCTCAGGATGGAACCCTGGACCTCCCTTAGCTAGGTGCTCTCAGGGCCTCGGAGACTCGTCCATCATTCCCACATGTCTCAGGTCAGCCCCAGGGCTGCTGCTGGGAGGTGTGAGTGGTGAAGGAGACCTATTTTCATGGCAGGTGATAGAAAACAAATATGATCATAATAACTAAATGAAGGTGAAAGGGAACGTGAAAGTGGTGAAGGAGAGAGATGGGGGTGAGGCCCACCTGTGAATGGGGCAACCAGGGAGCTAAAAGCCGGGAAGATCAGGAAAAGAGGTTCTGAGCAATAGGGACAGCATGTGCAAAGGCCCAGAGGTTGAATCAACTTGTGTGTTGAGGGGCAGCAAAGTCAGCATAAGGGAGCAAAATGAGAAAGAGTGGAGGCCAGGGAAGAGGCCAGAGAAGAGGCCAGGGAAGGTGGTCAGCTGGCAGCGGGGTGGAACCAGGGAATTCAGGTTACTTTTATTTTGTACATAAGGAAACTGAGGTAGAAGAAGGGGAGGGACTTCCCAAAGGTCACACAGTGGACTAAGGGTGGAGACCTGAGGGAAGAACTCAGGTTCCTGCTGTGGCCTCAAACATGGGACCCTCCCTGCCTCTTCCCAGATACCCCCTGCTCCACACAAAGATCTCCAGCTGCAGGTCCTGCCTCTGTGGTCTCCCCAGCCTCAGCCTCTCCACTGCCCAGGCCTCCATCAGGGGTCCCCCAGCCCTCTCCCCGGGGTCCTCTCCCCTGCCCTGAGGCTGAAGGCCCCCCTTTTATCCCTGGGGCGTTTCAGATCCCTTTTGTTACCTGAACAATAAGTAACCCAGGTAGTTAGTTATAAACTCTGCAGGAACGGAGGAGCTGGTTGATAATTTATAGCAACATCTCAAATTTAAATGGAAAGTAAATAGCATGCTGTTAGCATTAAAGAAAACCCAATCGGGGCAGGAGGGAGGCACTCCGGCCTCCTCCCAGCTTGGGGTGCCTCGCTCTCTCCCCTGCCCCTTCTCCCAGCTGGGCCTGAACCCCTCTCCCCTCCTGGCTCCTCTGCCCTCTCTCTCGGCCTCCCCGACAGCCTCTCCTTTCCTCCCTGCTGTCCCTCTTCCCCCCAGCTTCCAGATCTCTGCTGGTCCCCAAGGACACTTTGACCTCTGCTCCCCCCCAAATGCTGTGGAACAAGCCTCCCCCGCCCCACCATCCCACCACAGGGGCTGCTGATCCAGAGGCCCCCCAGAGCCAGGTAAGAAAGACCCTTGGTGCCCCTTACCCCAGCCCTCTCCCCAAAGCCCCCCAGTTCCACCTGGGACCCTGAGCAGGTCAGGCCCAGCCCCACCCTGTCCAGGTGGCCCTCGCCCTGGGTCTGGCCTTGCCTGGCTCTTTGCCCCTCCCCTGCAGAGCCGCAGCCTTTGCCCTCCTCTTCCTGCCAAGTCGGGGGCCTGGCTGCTCCCCTGCCCCCTGCCGAGGGCCCCACGAGGCTCCCTGAGCCTCTGAGAAGGTCCCTCCACCAGCCTCCCCCACCCCAAGCAGGGATCAGCCCTTGGACAGAAAAGACGGTCCCCCACAGAGCACTTTGGAGCACTCCCTCAAATCCTCAGCCACCCCCAGCTGGGCCCTGGCTCCTGGCCAGAGTGCCTTCCGGCTCCGTGCCTCAGTTTCCTCATCTGTGAAGCAGAGTGGTCAACAGCTTCCTCCCCGGGCTCAGCTCCACATCACACACAGGGCCCCTCGGCAGGCAGACGGGCTGCAGGAACAGTGGCCGTCAGCGGGGAGCCTAGGGAGCTTGGGGGACTGGTGGTCCCGTAGCCCCCAGGTTGCTCTCCCCCAACCCGGTGCCCCCCATTCTCCCATTCTCCACCCCCACGGCGGGGTTGGGGGGTGGCTCCTGCCTCTGCGGGCCACGATCCTACAAGTTAATGATCACAGCCCTTATCAGAGCCTTTTGCTGTTTATAAATTTATAAAACAAAAGAGAAATAATAAAGCGCGTGGGTAATTAGTAACCAGGGCAGCTCGGCTGGGGAGAGGGGAGGCATCGCCAGGGACCCACCCAGTTCTCCAGGAGTGGGGAGAAGGCCAGCGGATGGGGGTACAGGACAGTACTGGGGGGCTTCCACATGCAGCCTGCTGGGGACCCGTGGCGGTGCAGGAGAGGTAAGAGTTCCCACCCCGAAGTCCCCTCTGCCTCAGCTAAGAAAGACCTGGACTTTCCCAGTGGGGGGGGCCAGGGAAGCCCCCCAAAACCCCAGTCTCAGCTCTGCCTCCCAGAGGTGCTTTCTGCCCCCAGGGGCCGACCATCTGAGCACTTCGTGGGGAGCCAGGGCCTGGGGGTACGAAGGGCCACATGGCTAAGGATTTCCCACCCCCTCTGTTCTCCAGGTGTCTGGGGTCCCTGTCCCAGAGCTTCCCCAGGGCTTGTCCCCACTTCCCGAGGACACGGCTGAAGACCGTGGCTCTTGGTGTCTGGAGGCTCCAACCTCTGAACAGGGACCCCCGAGCGCTGGCCTGGGCCCTGTCCCCTTCCCCGACGGCTAAGCTGAAGGCCACGGCTCAGGAGGACTCTGGACTTGGCAGAGGGGCTGGTCAGAGCGGAGGGTGGCCCTGGGGGCTCCTTCCTGGCAGCTGGGGACGGGGAGGGGTCCTTACTGCAGAAGGGTCTCCACCACGGCCTTCTGGTGGGCCGCCTCCTCGGGGCTGAGGTTCTCCAGCTCTTTGAGGATGGGCGGCGTGAAGTCGTCCCCGTCGTCGTCCGTGTCGTCCTCGGAGCCCCGCGTCTCCCCCAGCCCGTTGGGCAGCTCAGCCAGCTCCCCTCGACCGGCGCCGCAGGCCTCCCCCTTGTCCAGGGGACCCTCTCCGGGCAGCAGGTAGGGCCCCGGCTCCCCCAGGGCCTGGATCAGCGCCTCCTTGCTCAGGCCCGACTCGAGCAGCGCGGCCAGGAGCTCGGTCTGCAGCTGGCTCAGCTTGGCCACCATGGCTCCGCCGAGGGCCACGCGGCCGGGCCACCAGCTGCCACCTCCCCCGCCCGAGGGCCTCCACTGGCCGGCCGGCAGCCACGAGCCAGGCTCCTGCACCACTGCCCCCCCAAACCCACGAGCCAAGCCCAGTGGGCACCCCCAGCCCCCAACCCTGGCCCCAGCGGCCGGTGAATCAGGCCCCTGCCTGCTGTTTACATTGGAGCTGGGGAAATTCTCCAAGGTTCATATTTATCCGTGTGCTTAGCGCGGGGACTGAACTTTGGACTTCAGCCCTGCAGAGTGCAGGCCTCATGGCCGCAGAGGGCCCGAGCGTGGCCTTCGGTGGGAGTGGGCAGGGGAGGGTGGGGAGGCGGAGGGGGGACCATGGCAGCTGGACAGAAGGTGCTAGGAGCCAGGGGGCAGCATTGGGGCCCACCCCCCGGGCCTTGCAGGAAGTCAGGCTAAGGCAGAAGGACGCAGAAAGCCCATTTCTTTAGGGGAATAGAAGCCACAGGAAGTTTTAGGCCACTGGGCCAGCTGTCAAGGACAGAGCTAGGTCCTGTTCATTTGGGGACCCTCTCACACTACACCAGGCCTGTGCTCAGGGATGGCGCTGGGTCTGTAACGTGTGCCTTTACTTCACTGTGAGTGGGTTCAGGGATTGTCTCCATTTTATAGAGGAGGAAATCTAGGCTCTGAGAGGTGAAGCAACGTGGCCAAAGTCACACAGGAAGGGATTAGACCTGTGGGATGGGACTAGGTGGACAGGAGCCGGGCACTTGCCTCAGTACAAATTTTCAGGGGGCACCCACAACCTTAGTAATCAAGATTTTATGCAATGGATTTTAAAAATTAAAATCAAGGCAAACCCCTAAAAGCACGTGTCCATACAAAAATTCTCACGTTCGAGTCCTGGGGCTGGAGCTCAGTGGAGAGCGTCTGTCTGGCATGCATGAGGCCCTGGCTCAGATCCCCAGCACCACCAAAACCAAAACCAAAACAAACCAAAAAACGTCACGGATATTCCCAGCACCATTATTCATAGTAGCCAAAAAGTGGGGAGAAAACATAAATATCCAGCCAGGTACAGTGGCGCACGCTTGCAATCCCAGCAGCTCAGGAGGCTGAGGCAGGAGGATCGCGAGTTCAAAGCCAGCCTCAGCAACATCTAGGCACTAAGCAACTCAGGGAGACCCTGTCTCTAAATAAAATGCAAAACAGGGCTGGGGGTGGGGCTCAGTGTCTAGTGCCCCTGAGTTCAATCCCCAGGACCCCCCCCAAAAAAAAAAACAACAACATAACTACAATCAACATATGAATTAACAAAGTGCAAGATGTACAACATACAATAGTATATCATTCTCTCATGATAAGGAATGACGTTTTGACCCATGACACTGCCTGTATGGACCTTGCAGACATGCTAAGTGAAGAAGCTGGTCACAGCAGGCCTCGTTCCATTTCCACGAGATTTGCAGAACAGGCAGACCCACAGAGAGAGAAGGTAGACCCGTGTGGTTCCCGCGGCTGGGGCTGGGGTCACCAGAACCTGCTTTGACCGCAGGAACCTCCCTGAGCCCCTGGAAACTCCGGAGTTTCACTGGGGTGGTGCTGAGGGGCTTCCTGCCAAGCTGGGTGGTGTCCAGAGGTACCTTTCAGGGTTCTGGGGAGCCAGGGGGGTGCTTGGCCATGGAAGGAAGGAAAAGGAGCCATGGCCCAGAAGCCCTGCCTGTGGGGCAGGAGAGCCCGAGGGCTGGTTACAAGGGACAGTCTGTGTGTCTCCCTGTCTCCTGCCCTGCGTCAGCTCGATGCCCTTCCCTCCCCACCTGGTGTTCCTGGTCCCTTTCCCTGAATCTCTTCCTTTTGCCCAACCTCCAACCTCCTCCAACACAGCAAGTGGCACAGCCCCAAGCCATTACTAACAATCTGAACCGGCTGAGCCTCTTGTTGAACTGCTAATAATATGTTGGACATACCAGGCTGAAATTTTAAATTAAAAAAAATTGCCAGGCCCAGTGGCGTACGCCTGTAATCTCGGGAGGCAGAGGTAGGAGGATGACAAGTTCAAGGCCAACCAGGGGAACTTAGCAGATCCTGTCTCAAAATTTAAAATAAAAAGGGTCAGAGATGTAGCTCCATGGTGGAGGGCCCCTGGGTTCAATCCTCAATGCCACATCCAAAAAAATTAGACTAAAAAGTTAATTTTAAATACATTAATTCTAATATTCGGATAGATTCTAATATATTAATATTAATATTTATAGGTCATTTAAATTCACTTAAATTAACTTGAATTTTAAATAGTTTGAATTGAATATAATTTTGATTAATGAAAATTATACTTTCTAATTTTTAAAATTAAAAAAGTAACTTCACCTGTTTCTTTTACTTTTTTAATGGTACTACTGGAAACTTTTAAATTGAATATATATAGGTCTGGGGGTATAGCTCAGTGGTGGAGTACTTGCCTATTATGTGCAAGGACCTGGTTCCGTCCTCAGCACTGCCAAACAAATAAATAAATAACTTACATATGTAGCTCACATTATATTTCCACTGGTGCTGCTCTATAATTTACTTATGTATTATGTTGATTTTGTCTCATAAATAGTCCTCTGCTAGAATGTAAGTCCCATGAGGACAGGGCTTTTTGGTCTGTCTTGTTCATGCTGTATTCCCAAGGCCTAGTATATTGCCTTATCCATACATAGTAGGTGCTCAATAAATACTGGTTAAATAAATGAATGGCTAAATTTCAGTGCAACTATGTCCTGTAGTTTTTTGTTTGTGTATGTGGTGTGTGTGTGTGTGTGTGTGTGTGTGTCTGTCTGTCCGTGCAGGTGTGGGCATGCCCTGGGGCTTGAATCCAGTCTGCTATGGTTTGAATATTTCCCTCAAAGTTCACATGCTACTTAATCTCCAGTGTGACAGTGTTGAGTGGTGAGGCCTCATAATAAGCAGGTAGATCCTGAGGGCAGGAGTGGGTTAGCAGTTAAAAAAGTGGATCTGGCACAAAAGTGAATTTGACTTCTCTTGCCTGGCACCGCCCCCCTCCCTTGCCCTTCTGCCTTCTGCCATGGGATTACACAGAGGGAGGCCGCCTTCCTCAGATGCTGATATTCTGACTGTGTACACTGAGTCATGCACTGTGCTTTAGTCATGTAGCAAATTCTCAGAAAAACTATGACTTGGGACCATTATTATTCCCATCCTGCAGGAGGAGAAAGGGAAGCTCTGAGGATTAAATAACTGTCAACTCAGAGTCCTTCAGAGCTGAGGTCTCAGTCCCCCTGAGCCAGGTGGTCCAGCTGCACAGGACATGCTGACGGCCATGTATAAGTGAGAACATGTACCTGGCTTATTTCATTCAACATAACATCCTCCAGTCGGGCAGCTTGTATTCTTGAGAAGCACCCAGGATTGTCTTTGAATTTCACTGTGTCCACCTGCAACGGGGTGGCCTCGGGCAAGTGAGTTAGTTAATCTTCTTCTTTATTTTATATTTTTTGGTACTAAGGATTGAACCTAAGGGAACTTGCCTCCTGAGCCCCATCCCCAGCCCTAGTTTGTGTTTTATTTAGAGACAGGGTCTCATTGGGTTGCTTAGCACCTCGCTTTTGCTGTGGCTGGCTTTGAAATTGTGATCCTCCTGCCTCAGCCTCCTGAGCTGCTGGGATTACAGGCCTGTGCCACCGTGCCTGGCTGAGTTAGTTTTTCTTGACCATCTTTAAAACAGAAGTATGGCTCTGATAGGGTTTTTGAGACAACTTTGCATAAAGGGCATGATGCCCTGACCTTCCGTGGTTCAAAGCAGGCTCCGCATCTCAGGACACTCATAACCACCTCTTCCCACCAAAATAGCAGTCACGTTTAGTAAGTAGGCAGATAAAAACGACTTATATTTATGACCTAACAATTGAGCATCTGCTTGAAAAAAATAATGTGCATAACTTGAAAAATCATCTTTTGGTTCACTTATACACCTGCAGTAGGATTCATGGAATGCATGTGGCGGGCTTTGCACCACTGCTCGAACTTTGGCATTATATTGGATTCTACCACCTTCATTTCCTGCTCCGCAGTAATTTTTTTCAAGGCACTTTGCTCTTTATCTCAAGAGCGGCCATAAACTCAGCCTCAGGAAGTCGTGATGACATCGTGGAACGTTGCCTCCTTCAACCTTCGCAGGAAAACCTCGAGCTGGTAGTTCACAGGGTGGCCGACAGATGGCGCTGTGTTTCCTCCAAAATTTCTCTCCTCGCCTCCCGCCCCAAACCCTGGGAAGCCAGACTGGCCACGTTGAAGCTTTTTCGTGGAAATAGGCAAATGCTGCAGATCTGGTCGGGTGGGAGGTTTGGGGTCGTTTCTTTGGTGTTCAGAAGGCCAACCTGATACTCCTCCCATTCCTGATGAGCTCCAGAGACCAAAAAACCTGGGTTTCCATCTCAGCTCCATTACTTAGGAGCTCTGGGACAGGAGGCGGTGGCCTGAATCTCTCTGCACCTGTTTGGTTTTTTAGTTTGTTTTTGTTTTGTTTGTTTTTAGTTGTTGTTGTTTGCCAGGGATTGAACCCAGGGGCACGTAACCACTGAGCCACATCCCCAGCCCTTTTTTTGTATTTTCTTTTGGAGACACTGTCTTGCTAAATTGCTTAGGGCCTCCCTAAATTGCTGAGGCTGGCTTAGAACTCTCGGTCCTCCTGCCTCAGCCTCCACAAGGGTTGGGATTACAGGTGTGAACTACCACACCCAGCTATGCACCTGCTTTTTATGGCAAGGAAGGAGTGGTAACGATACTTCCTCATAGAGTTTTATGAGGGTTAAATATGGTGTAAACACTTGGCACTGGCCTTTCTGTTCCTGAAGTGTTGGCCTCCCGGGCAATGTTGACCATGATGATGATGATGTCCAAGTCCCTGTTTGGGCCCTTTCTCCAGGAAGCCTGCCCTGAGTATCCCACTGATGGGGACCACTCTAGCCAATCTCAGAATTCCTGAGTCCTCACTGTGTCACAAATATTTTGGCCTTGAATTACACCATCAGCTGAATCATACCACCTGCAAACCCATCAGAGCGCCCCTGATCTGCAGTCGGCCCTCCACCACCCACCTACTGCTACCTCATCTCCTATTTAAACATCAGTTTGGTCCATCAGACAATGAGCTCCTTGGGGGCAGAGACCACACTGGACTCACACTCTATGTCCAGACACCTGCACAC